AACCGATATATTTATTAGAATTACGCGAAAGCGGGCAAACTAAAATATGATTCTGGATATGTGAGATTACATGCTAGAAAATGGATTCTGCTTCAAAGTGAAATATTCTTAATAAGATACCCAATCCTTGGGTAAGAAGTGGCGTGTGAGAACATTCCAACATAGAAGATATTATTTCTGCTACCATTTTGAGTAGTTGCAAGTTGTGCGATACATAAACAAGAAATGTCCTCGAACTACGCCCGTTTCATTTTGGGTAACTAATAGCCAGTCTTCTGTGTAAAATATCAATAAGAATGATGTTTAAATAATACGTCTGCTTTTCAGGTGGTTCGCGGAGGAATGGGGACCATGCACAGCAAGTTGTGGAGGTGGCACTAGAATCAGAGAAGTCTACTGTATGGAAGAAAATAATAACACCAGAATTAAGGTAAATGTAATGCATAAAGCTTAACGGCTAAAACATATCCAAGCACGATACCGTTCCAGGTGGACGACATAAAATGTGGAGGCCATAAACCGTGGTTCCAAGACGCCTGCAACCAAATGGACTGTCCTACATGGTATACCACCAAATGGTCGGGGGTAAGTCTTCATAAACACATACTTCACTATTTTAAACAAGTGTTATAACAGCTCATTTATTTGTTCTATTAATAGACAGGATCTCCCATTTTAATCTCACCACTTAAATATTTTAAAAACCGCATTTTAGAAACAACAGTTTCAAACAACAATTATAAGGTTTCAAAGGGACACACTGGTGATGTTGATAGTAACCTTTACTACGAAATTGACGAGAGAAAGTCACCTTAGCCATGACGTAGACCATGGACTTCAAGAACATTTCAATGTCAAATCAAGACATCGAAAACAATTTGTTGTAACAAAAATGTTCGACAACGCAGTTGTGAGGTTTGTCGGAACCACCCAAAGGTCACTTTGACTATGACCTTGACCATGTATTTCAAGGTTGAGTCTAAATTTAGAAAGGAAACCACCCATTTTTATACTGGAAATGGAAACGTAGGAAATGTTACGGCCGATGTGACCTTGACACCTCGAATAACATTTCTACATGTTCCACTTCCAGGGTAAAAATGAGAGGTTTACTTTGGAAATTTTGACTTGACCTTCAGGGTCGTGGTCTAGGTCACATTTTGGGGGTCCATACAACTGTGATGTCAAACATTTTTGCTAGAACAAATTGTTTTCAACGCCTTGTTTAGACCTTGCAGAAAGTAGTCCAGGTCATAATGATGGACATATTCGGACGTCAAATGTCCTCATTTCGATCCTGATATGAAATGTGAAAATGTTAACTTGACCTTGAAATGGTTTTAGAGATTGTGGTCAAGGTCATGTTAAGAGCACCGTCATTTTGCCCCATCCAAACCCTACTGTTTTAATTTAATACTTTTTTCTGGTATGCCTGTTTTCGAAATATACAGGGTGGCGCATCGAAAACGAAACAGACGCATTTACTGGCAGCTTAGTTTTTTTTTGAAAAACGCTCAGACCCGACGATTTTTTTTTCGAGGGGGACACAAGTTTGGCAAAAAATCACGTTAACACGTGCAGCCCCCTGGGCGGGGGTGACACCAACCCTAAAATCTTAAATGGAAAGGGGGGTCGAGTGATACCTTATTTTGATGGTCTTTCAATTCCCTTTATAATGATGTAAAATACATGAGCTTCAGTTCAGTAGTTTTGAAGATTTGTTGATTTAAAGCTTAAAGTAGACTTGAATAGCTACATCAGATTAGTTTGTATTACTTTCAGAAGAAATTTTTTATTGAACACTTGCTTTTCCGACGGATGTTCCTTTTTCTTAAATGGCGTAGTAAATCGTCATAACTGCCGATATTGGTCCGATTCTAATCCCAGAATTTATCATGAGGTTCATACACAGCAGTCACAAAAATTAAATGTTTGGGCTGGTATTTTTGGCGATCATTTAGTTGGTCCCTCTCGAAAACAAAATCGACGGGTCTGAGCGTTTTTCAAAAAAAAAGACTGACCTGCCAGTAAATGCGTCTGTTTCGTTTTCGATGCGCCACCGTGTAGAATAAAATGGGGCACCCCGTACCAATCTGATTTGCAGTGTTCCGTATCATGTGGGGAAGGTCTGCAAAGCCGCACGGTAGAATGTCGGGACTCCAAGCATCAACTAAGCATGTCGTGTCCACCTGCTTCGAAACCATCGTCCACCAAAACGTGCTCAACCGGCATCCATTGTCCGTTCTCCATGGAAGGCAGCGAAGAGCTGCTACCTGGATTGTACCACACGCAGCCACTGGTACAGCCGTACCCCCCACCACCTGTGCCACAGAAGCTGATTGGGGAACAGAATTTGCCTACCGAACCAAGGTGGGTGGGTTACGCTTACAGATTATTTGGCAATGGAGAGATAATTGCTTGATAGTCGTCACTTTAGTGGGAAAATGTTGCCTGTTATCTATAACGGAAAAGTCGTGTGTAGCTGTCTATATCAAGCCTCTGTTGACCCCAAAATAATTTTGAAAGTGATACTCAAAGTTATCAAAGGTTATCATTGAACTCCTTTTTCGGAGTCAATAAGAACCTGACCTTGACCGGTTTTAAAAGTACCTTACCTGAATAAATACAAGACCGTTCCTTCACTTTAGTTACGCTGGTGTAACTAATGACGTATATGTGAGAAAATATGTGCAACGTTTATAGAAGGTTACCGAACAGCAAAAGGAATGACTCATATATTTATGATCAACGAAAGAGCTATATTGAAAACGGGCAATGTTATTTCCTTTGCTGACGACAGACGACATCCGCATTAGACCAGATTAGCGGCCTAACCATTTCACCATTCGCTACGCTTTCAGCCGATCCAAAGCGGTTTATTCTCATCGCACAGTGCAGATAACTGACAGCCAGCAGCAATTTTATTGGTACTGGCCATTGAAAGTGTTTAAACGTTGTGTCCGCCGATCAAATCCTATTTTCGCTGCTGGTTGTTTGCCCTCCGCGTGTGCTGCTCTCGTTCATGCTATTGTCGACAATCCAAAGCCAAATTAGAGTCTATTTCATAGTACAGTCAATGTGCTGAAGCAAACTAAAATTAGTCTAGTATAGATAGAACATCCATCAAGAACCATCTTAGAGCAGTTAAAATAATCAGCTCTATGATTGTTGTTTTGAATTGGCTCGCTTTTTTCCTTTGCGGTAGTTTCTTCTCTGCGATATTTCAATCGCGGTAATATCGACATACTTAATAAGTACGCTTACTGATGATGGCTTTGATTTTGACTAGCTTTGATAGCTTGACAATTACAAAAGAAATGAAAGGCAAACTATTTGAAATAGAAATGGCTTTTAACTAATAATAAGGATGTACTGCACCTCTCCGAAGCAGTTATCGCGTAATATCATTAATTCCAAACTATATTCCCGCGTAAAAAAAATTATTCGGGATGAGATTTTTTCATATATTTAACTACAGTGAGTGCTATCTACGAGACGCTAACCCTTTCAAAGTGGATTTCCAATTAATGCGGAAACAAGACACATACCTGTGACAGATTGTCATAGATATCAGAAGACCCCAGATGAACTGCACTGTTGCTTTCCGGATGACGCATTCCTCACGTTTTTTGAATGCGAGAGGTGGAATACAGAACGTAACAACTGCCAGAACCGGACAGCATTGTCCAACTGATGCTCTCCTCCCGAGCAAACTAGATTGCTGTGGCTGCTTTTGTACGAACCGTCCTCGACAGCAAAAAAGCAGCAAGACATCGCACGCTGAGCACCGCAGAGAGCCCGAACTCCTAATCCCCATGTATATGGGCGAGGGGAGATGTAGGGCAAGAAGGTCGAGGAATGGACTGAACAAAGAAAATAAGACAGCCCTCAACTTCAGGATATGTCCACCGAGACGGTTCCGGGAAGGGGGTGGTTCATAGGACCCACTCGCTCCATGTTGCGGCCTAGCGACGGTTCGGACAAAAAAAAGATGACGCTACTGCAGATCATTCCATCCCCGATAATCTTTTGACGTGAGCTGACTATATTTGGTAGAATACGTTAATCAATGGTAATAGTCAATACAATTTGACCGGACTATAGACCGTCTGATCTCTGTATATGCTTTCGCATACGCAACCGGTGGACCGAGGATTCGGTATACATACAGAGTGTAAACGTTGTGGTAGTCATTATTGAAACGGGTAATAGAGGGGGGTCAAAACAAGTCAAAAAGCTCATATGACCCGTGGTCCAAAATTCAATAGATTTTTGTCAAAATGGCTTCATAGTTTACAACTTAAAGTGCTTTATATCGACCACAATCACCATAATCTTACTAATTTTTATAATCTAATCTAAAACGTTTTTAAATTGGGTAATTAACAAATAAATGGCATTAAGTTTTTCTAAGTTAAACCAAAATTTGTAGTCAGTAAGTAAGTTTCATTAAACTAAATATTTAAAACATACATGACAACAGCGCGTCGGTCTTTCAACACTCTTATCGAACCGGCAATCGATCGCAAACTGTAACAGTCGTTAGTTATCGTTTTGCATAGCATCGGGCGTGTTATTTTGTTTTTGTTCGCGTACGTCGTCGTGTTTATTTACAATGTTCTCGAATCAAGAGTTCACCGACATGTTGTTAGTTTACGGTGAAGCTCGTCAGAATTCAAATCTTGCAGCTCAAATTTATCGCGACAGATTTCGCCAACGGGTACACCCAGACGGAAGAACATTTGTGCAAGTGTACCAAAGACTTCGAGATACAGGAAGTGTCCAACTCACTAATATTCGCACTCGTGAAAGACTGGTTACCTTCTTTAACCCTTAAACGGGCAGCGATAGAAGTAGGTCTATATTAAAAGTCCTGACTAATTTTTTGAACTTTTATTGATCAAATACAACAGAAAATAACATTTTTCACAAAGAAAATTAAAATAAAAAAAAATACTAGTTGTATCTTCGAATGCACATTGCCTCTAGGAGGAATATGATTACTTGGAATGGTAACTTGTGAAGCAGTTTCTCTGATTAGCTCCTGATACGATGCATAAGCGCAAATTACATTTTTGACATAAAATTGTTGTTTGTCCATTTGTGCAAAGCCTACAGCGGCCTTTTTCAGTGAAAACTGCAAAGTGTCCAACTATGTCAAACCGGACATCTTCAGTAGGCCGTGGAGCGACGGGAACTTTTATTTTGTTTTGAGGGAGCAAGTTTGCTGCAGCAGAGGTTCTTTTTCTGTGTACGTTACGAGATTGAATCAAAGACTTTGCGATGTTTATTCTGAAGTCTTTGAGCTTATTATATTTTTTGCCTTGTGAGGCTAGATCTCTCCGATACAATAGCCAGGCACTATTGACAGCTATAGCAATCATCTGACTAAACATAGCGAGATACCATCGCTTTGATTTGAAGGGAGTCTTGTACAGTGAAACCAGCATATCAGATAAGTCTACGCCTCCCATATGAATGTTGTACTGTTTGACTATTTGAGGGCACTGAACGTTTACCTTTTTCTTTCGTTCTTTACTAAATGGGCTAACTTCAAACACTGGACTGTGCGAAATGTACGAACTCGCCAGAGTCACACATTTAGTGTCTGCCCATTTTATCACCGCTAGTCCCACGGAATTGTCTACTCTGTAATCAAAGCTACCTCTCCCCTTCCGTAGAAGTTCTTTGTCACTTAGCAAGGGACATCCTCTGAGTCTGTTGCTTCTAATGGTTCCCAAACTTGCCATTTTTTTTATTTTTCTTCAAGTATTCAATTAGTTCCAATGAACAAAAGAAGTTATCAAAATAGACGAAAGACTCTTCTGGTTTCTGAATAGTTCTGCACAGGACAAGTACCACTTTTGCACCAAGTCCCATTTGTTGTTCCTCCTTTGAAAATAGAATTGCGTCAAAAGTACTAGAGCCGGTATAGATGAGAAAGTCTTGCACAATCCCTGACACGCCTGCTCGAACGAACATCTTGAACCCCCACTTCTTTGGCTTTTTAGGCATATATTGGCGCAGACTTCCAGCTTTCTTGCCTTTGTAAGCAATCATCATTTCATCTATAGAAAACAAACCTTCCTCTTCGATAGCTATACATTTTTGTCGCAGTTTTTCTATAAGGGGCGAATTTTGAATAATCTATCTCCTTGCGGATCAGTATTGTTATCCTGAAGGTGTATGCGTCTTCGCAATTTCTTGAAGCGCTTTACAGGCATAACATCGGCAATAATACTATATCTCGTTTCTATGGCCCAGTAGTCTTCGATTGCTGGCATTTGGACTACCCCCATTATCAACTCAATTCCTACAAACGATCTTATTTCATTAGCTGTAGTATCAATAGAACGCCCAGTTGTCAGTGTGGAGTAAATATTCGTTTGGCGTGCAATATGCTCAAACAAATCACCGTCAAAAAATTTTTCGAAATAAGCCAGAGGGGAATATTCTCCGTCTACTCCAGCAAAAAAGACATCTTTTGGATATCTGATGTGTTGGAAATCTGTTTTGCTCCAAGTGTAACGTTTATCACCACCTGGTATAGCGTTATCTCTCGATGTTTGCACAAAATTCGCTAAAGGTAAATCATCTTCTGATTCCCAGTCGCTTGAAGTATCAACTACTGGTAAGCATTTGCGCTTCTTAGATGTGGGCGGCTGCTGATAATCGAGGTCCAAATCGCTATAGTCTCCGCCAAACAGCTCCTCCTCATCTGATGATTTGCCAACGTCTGATACACATGGATCGTCCGGTAGTAGCACAGCAACAATATGTGGAATATTTGCTGCTTTTTCGTAAAATATGCGGGGAGCGATACCCTGAAATAGTTCTTGAAGTTATCATGTATTCTAACATAAATTGCGTATCAAATGCCTTACGTTATTTTTAATGGGCAATGTGCATCTAGGGATACACACATTTGTAAGACAAAAACTAACCTCAAAAATTTATTCAAAGAAAAACTAAAGCAATGAAGACTCAAAGGAAGCATCAGCTTTCATAATTATACGTATATAATTACGAACACACCAGAGGCTGTAATAACTAATTTGTACTATATTGAGCTTACCGGGGTCAAAACTTGTTGATTATCCATAACAATGACACAAAGTACCACCTACCATGCGGACAACTGCAAATAAAATGAACCGGCATAGGCGACACAACGTTGCTAGTGAATGTATCTCACACTATACACCGCCCAATTCGCTACATTTTAAGGGGTTTTTAAATACATGCCAGTACCATGTGACCGTATCTCAGGAGAGATATCGACCGTTTAAGGGTTAAATACAAAAAAAGTGCAGTGTGGGATTTAAAAAGAGGAACAGTCTATGTATCAAAATTCCGTTCCCTATTTATAAGTGGTTTTTTCAATACGTTCAACAAACTTTCACGCGCTGAGACAGTTAGTAGTAAGTCCGTTTTTTTTAATTGTTTGAATTTTACGACTACATTATCAAAAAATGAAATAATACCTAAGAGCCAAAACTAATAAACTCCATCTTCTGGCATTGCGGCGTTGTCAGATTTTATTTTACTTTAATGTCCCTTTTCTCTAAAAAAAATTTCGTTTTGACCCCCATGTTATATGAAACTTTTTGCTTCTTTTAACTCCCTCTATCACCCATTTAAATAATGGCTATCATAACGTTTACATCATGTGTATTACTTACTGGGCACATGTTTGTTCCAATGATTTGATACAAAAATTCGACAAATCTACAAGCATTTTTCAAATCTTCACTTTGACTGTACTAGTAGTGCTTAACCTCCTACCTCCTAAATGTGGCTTCCGCTGAAATGCAACCGGTGGAGCGAAGGTCCGATATAGGTTTTAGCGGCACATATTGTAGCAGTTTATAGCGAGCTTTCAGCTTTCACAACGGCTGAAACGTCGGTTGTTTGTAGTTTATTTAGCTTGTTGTATTGCTATTTAGTGCTTATATGTGATATTCGAGAGCCAAGCACCGATCAGAGAGAATATAGAAGGTTTATTCGGTGTCCAGTATTAGAAGATCGAAAGTAAAAGGATACGGTACCTGTATCGGATGAAATCTCTATTATTGCTTGTGTAGGGGAATCTGTAGTGATAGATCCAAAAATTAATCCAACGAAAACACTAATATTATGCCAAATGAATTTGTGAAATTCATTTCAGACCGTTTTTGTCCAAAACTTATACCATGTGTAAAAATTATTTGCACAAAGCCAACGAAAAAGTATAATCTCAGAAAGTTGATACAGTTCCATATTGCGTCATGGTTTATAACAAATTCTATATAATACTTCATTGTATCCACGATTATTTGAGAAACTTTTCGAATAGTTCAGGATAGCTAACATTGATATATCTGAAACCTATATCTTCAAATTCAGTTATCTTTTTCTCATCCAGCACCTTTAGCTTTTCCAAATTTTTCCTCAGTCTGTTCTGTATAATCACAACCCTAGTTGCTTGGATAAACTTGTTCAAAATCGAGTATCTTTTGAACCAAGGTTCCATGGTGCATACGAATTGTTTTTTCGTAACTTTTTCATCAATCTGTCTTACTGGTCTTTTTCTCAGACATACTGGCGTGTGTTCATCTGGTACTGATATCTCTTCACCTAAATTCGAACAAATACTAAGGAAACAAAATCTCATAACTCTATCGTCAAGAATCTGAAATATGACCTTTACCTTAATCAAATTACCGATTAGTAAAATGTTGAACTATATTTCAAAAAAAGCAAGATTATTAATTTCAATAATAAAAGGTATGTTATCTTCTACCGAAATCTAAAGGAAACTAATTCCACGCCCAATATACAGGGTGGCGCATCGAACACGAAACAGACGCAGCTCAGTTTTTTTTTTTGAAAAACGCTCAGACCAGTCGATTTTGTTTTCGAGGGGGACTCAAGTTTGGCAAAAAAATACGTTAACACGTGCAGCCCCCTGGGCGGGGGTGACACCAACCCTAAAATCTTAAATGGAAAGGGGGGTCGAGTGATACCTTATTTTAAAGGTCTTTCAATTCCCTTTATAATGATATAAAATTAATGTAATTCAATTCAGTAGTTTTGAAGATTTATTGATTTAAAGCTTAAATAAAACTAAACATCATCATTAGTGGAGATCAATACATTTGACAGCAAAGTAATTTAACGATGAAGAATGAACTGACCCGTTAGGCAGGTAAATGTTGAAAATGGCCACCATGACTCTCAAAACGTTGCCGCACATTTTGCAATATTTGATGAGTAATTTGAAAGCACTCATTCACAATTCTTTGTCGCAGGTCTTCTAATGATGTTGGCTGAGTAGCATAGATTTTGCTTTTTAAATGACCCCACATAAATAAATCCAAAGGCGATAAAACTGGCGATCTTGGGGGCCATTCAATGGCACCTCTTCTACCAATCCATCGATCTGGAAACGTCTGTTCTAAATATTGTCGAACACATAATGCGTAATGTGGTGGGGCACCATCCTGTTTGAACATCAAGCTATCCGCAATGTACCGCCGATCATTCTGGTTTTCAATTATGGCGGTCAAACTTCCAGGTAAGAAAAAAGAACGAACTAAATGATCGCCAAAAACCAGCCCAAACATTTAATTTTTGCGGCTGCTGTGTATGAACCTCATGATAAATTCGCCTTTAGAATCCGTTGGACGGTACGTCGACTAATACCACACACAGTCTCCAATTTGCGGGTACTTAACGTAGGATCTACATAAACTTGCCCTAAAACCCCCACTTCTATTGCTTCGTTCCTTATGGGATTTTCAATGTTGCGTTTTTTGTTGGCGACTGACACAGTTTCCCGAAATTTAGCTACAAGTTCTAGAACATATTTTCGATGCACGTTACTGTTCTCATGTCGCTCATTAAATATTTCTGCTCTTCTATTAGCGCACTGATTATTTCCGAAAAATATTTCGATAATTTCAACTCTTTCTGCTGCGGAATATACCATGGTTAATTTATGTAGTAAAGCGTTACAAGTTATTTTGGCAACAAAGTTTGGTCAAAACAATCGCAAACTATGTACTAAATTCATATTCAAAATAAGTACGAGATATTTCCTTATCTTTCTTCAAGAAATAACTTTTTTCCCAAAAAAAAAACTCTCCAATAGCTATTTTCAACAACAAAATGATAAACAAACCATGGGCGTAGTGAAGAAAAGCATTTACTTATTAAGTAAATTCTTTTAGTCAAATTTCTTCTGAAAGTAGTACAAACAAATCTGATGTATCTATTAAAGTCTAGTTTAAGCTTTAGATCAATAAATCTTCAACACTACTGAACTGAAGCTCATGTATTTTACATCATTATAAAGGGAATTGAAAGACCTTTAAAATGAGGTATCGCTCGACCCCCCTTTCCATTTAAGATTTTAGGGTTGGTGTCACCCCCGCCCAGGGGGCTGCACGTATTAACGTGATTTTTTGCCAAACTTGTGTCCCCCTCGAAAACAAAATCGACGGGTCTGAGCGTTTTTCCAAAAAAAAAACTGAGCTGCCGGTAAATGCGTCTGTTTCGTTTTCGATGCGCCACCCTGTATAAATATTACTCCCTTTACCAGTATCATCTTCAAGGAAATCGCAATTGACCAAAGCTCTGTAGTCATTCTGCAACCTCTTTCTATTAATATTAAAAGTCTCTTCGTTCAATCTGGTCAATTGTCGTACCGCTTCTTTGAACTGTTCACTCTTTCTGTTGAAGATCCTGTGGTTCTCTTCATTGTACCGATTTAACGGCCCTATGAACTCTGATTCAAGTGTTGCTTCTTTCTCTGTAATCTTCTTGTGGATTTCAGCATGCTTTAACACCGACATTTTATTTTGTCAAATAACAAATTGACATATTGTAGAGTATTTGACATGAACGGAGCGGACTTATTAATTAGATACCTCTACCCTATCTTAGATTTTTTATAAGGGATCCCAACGAGGTACTGACGAAATGTGAGAAATGCTTATTTTAAATATTCTTTAACTCGCTAAGGTACATTTACCATTCGTTAAGGTAACCATACATTTGAAAGATGTAACAAACGGTGTTTGGAGTTTCCTTGAAATTTTCCGCGTTACAATGTTTTCTTATTCATTGACGATGGACGTAAAATTTGATTAATTATTTTTTCAATATAAAGTAGCTAGGCGTCGACTTCGCTCCATCTAATATTATAAGGCACTCTACCTTTATCTGGAGAGCTTATCAACGAAATGCTTGACATGCTGCTTAACATAATGCTTACTTAACAACGTCTATGTTTCCAATTAAACGTGTATCCATCGATGTGCTCTCTGTGTCTTTTCAGCACTTACAAAGTGTACTTTGCCTGTGGCTGGGTATATGTGAGGTACAATAATTCTAATTACTCTTTCAGGTTTTATTCAGTTTTTTCCTACACTACTTTTTGATTCCCCTATATTTTCGGACACCCTTTTTCACTGTACATGAGTCTGATTCCACACCCTGCACCTATGCTATAAGAATACGAGGGATGTCTTTTACGTTTTGCATATAGAAACATAGTAGGCCGCGCGGATCGAAAGTCAGTACTGAATCTTAACCGCACTCTTTAGTAAACTTAAATTCAAAGTTTCACAACAATACGTGCAGTGTTCTCACTGCAGTGAATTTTTAAGTGTCACCAAGTCATTAGAAAAATGGAACTCAACCGAGAACATTTTCGCGCCATAATTTATTCCAGCTTTCAGAGACAATTATCGCAACAAGAATGCCTTGCTGAGTTTCTGTCTGTTTTTGGCAACAAAGCGCCACATCAGTCGGCAATTTCCCGTTGGTATGGGGAATTCAAACGTGGACGGGTGAGTCTTAGCGACGATCCCAGGGTGGGTGCACCAAAAACGGCAGTCATCCAGGAAAACGTCGATGCTGTGCATAAACTCATCATTGAAGATAGACATGTGACATATCGCGAGATTGAGCCGTTCTTTAAGATCTCAAAGACCTCAATTAAAAAAATTACATGCAGTATTAGGAGTAAGAAAATTAGTTTCTCGTTGGATACCCCACCTGTTGACTAAAGAGCAGAGAGCAGCCAGGGTTAATTGGTGTCAAAAAACGCTTGACCGTTTCAATTCCGGAAAGTCAAAAAATGTGTAGGTACAGCATTGTTAGTGGTGATGAATCGTGGATTTACTGTTATGAACCAGAAAATAAACGACAGTCGGCTGTTTGGGTGTTTCCAAGGTGAAGAAGAGCCAACAAAGGTCAGCCGTTCTCGAACTGTTTCGAAAAAGATGGCCGCGACATTTGTGTCAAAAGCGGGTCATATTGCAACAATTCCTCTTAATGAACAAAGAACTGTTACTGCGGATTGGTATACCACCATTTGTTTGCCAAAAGTCATCACCGAGCTTCGAAAAATGAACCCCGAAAGAAGAATCATCCTCCACCAAGACAATGCAGGCTCGCACACAGCCCAAAAAACAAGGCAGTATTTAACGGAAGAAAACGTGGAATTATTGTCCCGATCTAAGTCCTAACGATTTCTTTACTTTCCCGAAAATTAAAAACAGACTGCGTGGTCAAAGGTTCCAGTCACCAGCAGAAGCAGTTGACGCATTAAAAAATGCCGTTTTGGATCTGCCAGCAAACGAGTGGAATAAGTGCTTCGAAAAGCGGTTTGAGCGCATGCAGATGTGTATTAATCTTCATGGAGGATACTTCGAAAAACAATAAAGTCATTTAAAACTATCTACCATGTTGTTTTATTTCCATATGCAAAACTTAAAAGATATCCCTCGTACGCCGCTTTTATGAACTTTTTTGCATGCATGGATCACATTTCAAGCCGCACCTGGAAATAACCAATTTTAAAAACGTCATTAATGGTGCTGGAAAATCTACTTTCGCGAGACGTGTATACATACAGTCAACGCCAAACAAAGTGGCGTGCACGTCATCAAGGTGGGTGTGTTGAAAGATTTACATTGTTGCCAAACTTTTTGTAAAATAATAAAATTTATTATTTACATATCTAGGTTTATAAGCAATATTAACCTCAAATGAGAACAAAAATAATAGTATAATAAAATTATAGATCTGTACTTGCATAATCATTAAGTATGACAATTATTGATCAGATGACACTATGAAACTACCATATTTAATTGATAGCTTAAAGGTACTGAATAAAAATCCAAATGGGGTCCTCCAAATTTTATGCATGGTATTTATTTTACAGAATTCATACAGAAAAATGCATTCTAAAATTAGGTAAGCTACTGGTGTAAGCTTTTTCTGTACAATAAAGTTAGTCGGAGTTTCTTTCTTCAGCGCTGTCTGAATCTGAATCTTCATCACTCTCAAAGTTGATTATTAAAGGTTCGATGTCTGGTCGATCAAAAATTCGTTCTCTTTCATACCATTTAAAAATTTCTTGCTCAGTATGTCGAACACTATTTTTCCACATGTCTGGGGTAACCGTTTGTAGAGCCTCGTTCCACATATCCAAACAGTCTTTTTCACTGTTACCATCTCTACCAATATGTCTGTTATAGTAACCTTTTGCTATGCCCCAAATTAACTCAATAGGGTTAAATATACAATGGTAAGGAGGCAGACGAAGAACTTTGTGCCCATGTTGTTCCGCCAATTCATCAATCACGTATATTTTAGGTGGTTTGTTTCTAAAAAAGCAGTTATTTCAAGAATAGGAATAAACAAAAGAAATATAAACTGTCGACCAAAATATATATAATTAAGAAGCATTATGTACCGAGCAACAATACTCAATAGCTCTGTTTTAAACATTGTGTTTAAAAATTGTATGTTTTGATTTGTCAACCAGTCTTGGATATTTTTTTTTGTCCATGCATTGTTGGGCACTTTGTTCAATATCATGCTGTGATAAGGGGCGTTATCCAGTATAATCAGAGATGGACTCTCCAATTTTTCTAATAACTGATGTTGAAACCATTTCAAAAAATTGTCCTGGTTCATCTCTCCATGGTAATCGCTCAATTTTGTTTTCGAAGAAAATATCGCTTCACTACCCTCAATAAACCCATTTTCATTTCCAGCATGTAATATAATGTATCTAAAATATATTAGTTTTAAATTTTATAGTGCAAATTGTGTAAAAGTACATACCTTTTACCATCTGTTTTAATAGCTTTCACGCTTTTTTGGTTTCCATTTTGCCAAGAGCGACCTATGGTCCCATTTTGAAATATCCAAGTTTCATCGAGGAAGACAAACTGGTATAAGGCCTCAACCTTGGCTTGATTGTATTGCCTTAGAAATTCCACCCTTTTCAAAGCTATACTTGGTAGTTCCATGAGCCCTCGTCGCGGATTGTCCTTAAGCCACTTAAATCCAAGATCTCTAAGCAACCGCCTTAAAGACGTGGCACTACCATCAAATAATGCCCTATCTCTTAATCGAGACCATAAAGTTTGTATCGTAACTTGTTCTTCTGAAACCATGTGTAATATGACATTATAATTTAGTTAACAAATTAATGCAAATTTCTGATAAGTTATTATAATAAGATCTTACTTTTGTGATACATATTATAGATCACTTCTCGAATGGCACTTGTATCCAATGTCGCTGTGTTGGTTACACGTTTAATATAACTCCGCTTTTTCTTGGGCGATTCTAAATTTGCATCACTTTTCACACCCTCGGAAATACGACTAACTGTCCTTAAACTAATTTTTAAAGCAGCAGCAACACGCTACAAAAAATGAAATAAAATTTCACTATTATTAATATACATTACATATAATTATTAGTAACCTACCTCTTGAACAGCATTTAAAGGCAACAAAGGCCCGTTGTTGTCCCTTTCTTGCTCAAAGTAGTGCATTAACGAGGCCACGAGTTCCTTACACCGACTATTTAACTGTTTGGGCATCTTTATATACCAAAATTGCCTTTATCTACTCGTAAAATGAATAATTTTGTTTTGAAACAAACAGTTGTTGATTTACAGTATGCGGGGCCAAAGGATTTATAAAGATTTGAAATGCCACAAATTGATTCAGTGTCAAAATTAATACAAATGTCAGTTCCCAGTTTAAATAAGTTTCAAGGTGACAATGTGTCAACGCTGCGAAATCGGTTTAGTGCGTTTACATGTCGATAAGTGATTGGAGCGTTTGCAAAACATTTTATTTCGCATAATGCGTCTAAATTTATCAGAAAGCAACTTATGTGATATTTTAATAACAATGTTTATATGACTATTAACCATAATAAGAGAGTAATGACCATTTTACAATTTATATATCACATTAATATGAAACTGCAATAGAGCAATTGTTTGTGATAGAAACCTAGGCATTAGGTCGGGGAATTTTTATCGTGATGACGTGCACGCCACTTTGTTTGGCGTTGACTATACATGCGGTGGAGGATTTTCGCCAAAAATCAACTGCTATTCAAAACATTTGTTATATAGTTATATCAATATCTTATATATATCGTGTTTCATAGTGTGTTAAGCGTATATTTCAAGACTGCTTTGATAGCCCGTCGCGCCGCGTCAAGTTGTTCCCACCGAGCTTCTTGTCTTTCGCAGCTCGGAGCTAGGATGTCCACTACTGTAAAATATTCACCAACTTATGGAGCGTACAGCTGCACCGCTAAAAAGTATACATAAGCGTTGATTGATGTATTTTACCTTCCTAAATAGTTATTTTAATAAGAATAGGTTGAATATCATATGTTAATTAACAACTGGAGGCATCTAATTGAAATAGTCAATATGGAGGCCAAAAAGGTATTGAAGTGCAATCTATAAGACAGTAACCGAACTAAGCACACTTTAAGTAAAATACCTTTATCAAGAATAAGATACAAGAATTAGAACATTTTGTTCAG